GGGGCTCTGGGTGGGTCTGGCAGGGCACAGACCCCACTCCCCTCTGGAGTCCTTCTGTTCCACTCATGGGGGTTGAGCTTTTCCCATCTCCAGCAGGAGATTTTGGCATTGGAAAAGTGTTCCAACCTTTGGAAAGGTGTTTGCTCCCTAAGGAATCAGGGATATGGCTGAAATGGGGCAGCTGCCAGGCAGTGCAGGGACATTGTGTCTTTATTCCCCTTCTTTCTCTTTTTCCCAGAGTCCTTCAGAGGGACATTTATTTGGATTAAACAAATAGACCAGGCTTTTTCTTCCTGAGAGAGGAATAAGCCTTGGTTTTATTTGTCATTCTGGGATTTCTTGGGATGTTCAAAAAGTTGTCATTTTTCTAACTGACCAGATTTATTCTAAATCCATCCACCCAACATCATCATCATCATCCTCATCAGCCAAACCAGCGTGGCCTTACCAGGGCTGAGCATTTCTGGGTGCAGAGCAGGGTGCTCTGGCAGGGTTGGGGTGGCCTTCAGAGCCTTTCCCATGTGCCATTAAAATGTGAAAATGTGCACGAGATTTCTTTCAGGAGACAATCATCATGACAATCTTAGTTCAGGTTTCATTCTAAGACCAGTGTCTGAAATATTTCCCAGTATTTGAATTCTCCCCTCTGTGTGTTCCCTGCAGTCCAGGAAGGGGTGAGGGGTATTTGCTGACATGGAAGGGGGTGAAGGGAAGGGGTATTTGCTGACCTGGAAGGGGTGAGGGGTTTTTGCTGACATGGAAGGGGTGAAGGGGTTTTTGCTGACCTGGAAGGGGTGAAGGGGTTTTTGCTGACCTGGAAGGGGTGAGGGGGTTTTTGCTGACCTGGAAGGGGTGAGGGGGTGTTTGCTGACATGGAAGGGGTGAAGGGGTTTTTGCTGACATGGAAGGGGTGAGGGGGTGTTTGCTGACATGGAAGGGGTATTTGCTGACCTGGAAGGGGTGAGGGGGTATTTGCTGACCTGGAAGGGGTGAAGGGGTTTTTGCTGACCTGGAAGGGGTGAAGGGTATTTGCTGACCTGGAAGGGGTGAAGGGGTGTTTGCTGACCTGGAGCCCCAGCTGATGGCAGTTGTGTTCCTTTGCAGGTGAATTGCTGCCATCCTTGGAGCTGTCCCAGAGCAGTTTCAGCTCTGTGCCCTCCGTGCTGAGCGTGTCCATTCCCCTGGGCTCCGAGGCTGGCTCGGATCTCCTGTCCCCTCTGGAGCTGTGTCCCAGCTCCCCAGAGCTCTCTGCACAGCACCCAGGGGGGCTGCAGGGAGGGGCTGGCCCGGTGTCCCCAGCCCAAAGGGGTGCAGAGTGTCCCAGGGGGTCCCCTGGAGCAGAGCAGGGTGTCCCCAGCCCCTCCTGTGCCAGGGACACTCCTGGGATCGAGGGGAAGGGAACTCGGGATGTGCTCAGTGCCCAAAGCTCTGGGAGCTCAGGGAGCTTCCTGCAGGGCTGGGATGGGCTGTG